GAAGTGGGTTTAAAAGAGAGCAGGAGAGACACTGAGATAGGCGGTCAGTACAGCTTTTTGAGAATTTTGTTTTACTCTAAAGGGAAGAAGAGACATGAGAGGGCAGGTAGCTGGGGAGCTTGTTGGAGTTGCTGTTTGGAGGAGAATAGAATAATGGCCGTGGCTACCCATGCGCAGAGATGGTTCAGCGGCAGGTGCAAGGACACCCCTGAGTGCCAGATGGGGTGGCGTCTGCTCGGGACTGGAGGAGGGTCTTCAGCAGGAGGCCCGCAGCAGGGGTGAGAGGGCAGAGCCAGCAGGTGTGGGTGGATGAGGTCGGTGGTGAAGATGGACTGAGGCCTCAGCTGAGAGTGAGTTGGGGTGGCAGTGGGAGGCAGATAAAGGAGGGTCAAAAGTGTCGCTGAGAAAGAAGAGTGAGTATCGAGCAGGACTGTGGAGGTGGATGCCGACGAGGTCAAGGGAGACCTGGCAGGGGTGGGGTGGGGGTGGAGGTTCTCCTCCACTCGCGGTGGCTGCGGGCACAGGTGCCAAGTCCACAGAGAGTGGGGCCCAAAGTGACTCTCGGGTCAGGAGTGAGGGTCCTTCTCCAAGATTTCTTCTTATGAAGGCAAGAGGAGGGAGGGGTGGTGACAGGGGCCACAGGGGTAGGGGCGCCTTTGCAGGGTTGGGGCACCCTGGAAACGTGCAGCAGAGGGCAAGGATCTGGAGAAGGAAAAGACGAAGGGGGTCCAGAGTGTGGGTGGTTGTCAGAGGCAGATCCTGCTGGGGTGTTGGGGTCGGGGGATGGTTCTCTGGGGACCGGGGTCAGAGGGTAGGAGCGGTCTGGAGAGGGGCAGGAGGATGGAGAAGTAACTGCAGTGGGGCCTCTGGCCTCTGTTGCTTTGAGGGAAGAGAGCAGCTATAGGATGGAATCTGCGGGAACCTTCCAGGAAGCACCCCAGCAGCCCACCCCTCCCCACCACCCAGCCTGGCCACTTCCCTTGCGTCCCCTGAGATGCACATTCCCTGTTATCTCTTTCTACACTCGGGTTCCCCAGACAACCGTTGTCTAGAAAGGCCTTGATTTCAAGCTCTTCCTCTTCCTGGCTTGTGGCTGCAACTCCCATGGCCACCCCATCTTCTGCCCTGTGAGAGGGAGCCCGAGTCCCTAAGTTACTCTCACCTGGGAAGAGTACTCGGGCCACCAACCCAAAACTCATCCCGGCATCAAAGTGCTGTCTTCACCCAGGAGTGAGACATAGATCCCATGGCCGGGACGCTGGGCTTGCGTAAAATGCTGTGAACTCCTGAGGGTCTGCTGGGTGTGGGGTGGGGGTGGGGGCCGCGCCTCCCTCCCCTTCCTCCCATCTCTCCTTCCTTGCAGTAAATGTTCATTTGCAGGCTGCTGTGTGCCTAACAAAATCGATATGAAGGCAGTAAAATGAGAAACAGAGAGGAGGAGATGGTAGGCCCACCCGACAGCCTTCCAAGAGCTGCTTCGTGCTAACAGATCCCTGGTTTGGCTCCACACGGAGCAGTACTGTGCTTGGGGAATGTTTCCCCAGGAGAAAAGCCAAGACTGATACAAACTCACCTGGGTAACCCTGCCCACTCTGTCAGTGATTCCGGGGAGGGGCGATGGCTTTGTGGCCCAGTTAGAGTCAGTGGGGCCCGAGGTGAGACAGGCTGGACATTTTGGGTGTGTCCTCTGTAAAGAGGTGACAGACAGCCAAGAGAGGGTAGGCCATTCCTCCTCCTCGTTCTCTGGAGGCTGTCTTGAGAGGATGAGGTGCTCCTGTCTGGGGAAGTTACCTACGCATGCAAGAAGGCCAGGCAAAGTACACCAATGCTGTCTTGAGCCCTGAGATCACTGAACTGCTGAATTAACAAGCCTGGGTCCATCCATCACCAAATTCCTATTCATGAAATAGTGAACAGTTTTTATTGTTGGTGCTCCTTTTAGTTGGGCATTCTAGAACTTATCACTAAAGGCTTCCTGACTGCCGCAGCAAGGAGAAAGTAGACAATTGTGATGGTCTCTCCCATGTGGCTCTGAGCCTCCTGGAAGCCAAGGCAAGAAGGGAAACTAGAGAAATCACAAAATTCTCCTTCTTAGGTGGGAAGGGCTTCTTAGGGAGTCTCAGGGGTTTTTTTGTTTGTTTTTTTTTGTTTTGTTTTTGTTTTTTTTGCTCCTCAATTCCTAGTGTTATACTAAATTTCCACATGGGAGTCTATGAAAGGAACACTGAGATACATCATTGCTGGATTCAGGGTAATTGGATAATTGTTTTGCCAGCGAAGCCGTTTTCACAAGACTCTTTCTCAAGACAATGAGGATCTAGATACATAGGGAAAGTCCAAGCAGAGAGGCAAAGAGTGGGTGGGAGTCAGGTGGGCAGATTTGCTCCACGCCTCCCCTACCCCAGATGGATTGACAGCCCCTCAGAAAAGAGTAAAGCCCAATGTGAATCGGAGCCCACACCGATGAGACAACTGGATAAACTGGCATTCAGACAGAGAGTGATGGGGGGAGGGGAAGACCCCAACATGCTACAGCACCTCCTGTCCCCCTGGGCAGGGGACCCTGTGGGTTATTCAGGCTTGGAGGGGCTGTCAGCTCTGTGGAATGCCTTTGCACATCCCACCAGGTATCACACCTCAGAATGGGATGACATCTAAAGTCCCAGGTGTTCTCCTGACAGGAAGGTAGAATTTGAAACTTCAGACTAACCAGGCAACAGAAGAGCCTTTGCTTTGCCAAGGGATTCACAACGTATTTTCCTTAAAAATACTGCACTATCTGGACCTTTGCTGTAGGCTGCTCATAGATGCCACAAGAAAAAAAGGTCAAATATATTTGAGAGTGAAACAGGTATCTTTACTGCCATGTGTCTTGAGGGCATTGATGCTATCTTCACCAGATCTAAGAGACACTTTTGGGTGGAGGACACATCGGTATTTTACGTATTACTAAGAAAGGAAAATTGGCCAAATTGGGGAGTGTCACGGGGACCCCTCTGTAAAGCTGTAACAGAGACAGGCTGCACCATCAGTGCAGGAGAATGTGACAGACAAACCCACCACCAGAGAGGGACAGCCGGGAGCCCCCTGGCCTCCACCTTGGCCATGATGCTCTCAGCTGGGGGTCACAGCACCCACGTGGTCCCCAAGGGGTCTCAGGACCTGTGCCCCAGAGCACTGGCAGAAGCAAACACAAGGTCTCCTGGGAAAAACTCAATTTCAGTCCCGGCCAGGGGTAACTGAAAAACACTGACTGTGAGATTCTCCCCAATTTCAGGGAGCTTAAAATGCGAGACAGTATGCAAATAGCCCTGGAAAGGAGTCACTGTGGGCACAAGGACACATCCTGCAGTAACATCTCCCCAGTGATGCCGCCTCCTCTTGCCTGATTGAGAAAGATACCAGTCTCCATGTCATATCGTTGTGTTAGTGTTTTCTCAAACTTCTGAAAAGTAATGAGGCTCCAATCACCTTTCTGGTCCAGGTCCTGTCCATCCCCAAGCTGGTTGACCTCAGTCTAGGAAAACAGCAGCCCTCCCGCCGCCTCCACCACCATCCCTACAGAGCTGTGCAGCTCTGGAGGACCATCTGCAGAGATGGCGCCTGAGTCAGTGGTAAATCCCCTCCCTGCAGGAAGACAAGCCAAGTCTTATTACGGATCCTATCACAATGCAAAGGGCTGGTACTTCAGTGATTGAACTGTCCTGTCACCGTGCAAATCAATAGGAAACCCACAGGAGGTGATGTGATTTAGGATGCTCCTTCTGGGATGCTGGCTGGTCTTCCTAGAACATTGAAGTTGAGATGTGGCCCAGGCATCTCCACGATAAATGGAGACTTTAGTCCAAAAGGATCAGATCTGTTCATAAAATAGATTTGGATCCCTCCAAATAAAAATGCAGATGCATTTCAGTCTCCCTCACAGTTCAGTGGGCTGAATCCCTTAATCTACTCAATTATTATGGAAAAACCCTTATCTCTTCCTGTCAAAATCACTGCCATCTTGGGGGGATTATGTGCAGTGAGTGTAGCATTATCTCGAAGAGGGTCACATCCTTGAAGAAGTAAAACCCAGGATTGGGACAGGGCCGAGAGACAGGCTGGCCAGTGAGGGCCAGGAAGGTGACAGGTGTCATCGCATGTGTTGCTGGTAAGTGACAGAGCGAGGTCTTTAATCCAGGCCCTGACTCGATCCAGTGTCCCTCCTCTGTGGGCAGCCAGGGTGGCATCAGGAAGATACAGGCTGAGGGTTTGGGGGCTATTTCTTCCCAATAGGTCAGAGTGGTCTCCTGCAGGGCCGCCCCACTAGCGTGAGGGCCTCTTGTCTCCTGCTTGGGCTGGGACAGGGGTGGGAGAGTGTTTAGTGTCTGCAGGAGGGGAATAGGTGGCCTGAATCCTGCACGGTGGGGCCGGCCTTGAGCCTTTGCCCAGGGAGTGGACCCCACTTGGCCAGGGGAGCGGAGGGAGGAGAAGCTGGATCTAGAGCAGAAAAGGGAAGAATGTGTGGGAAATCGATCCCCAGGTTCCAAGAGGGGCCCCTGGCGGGAGCCCTTTGAATGAGAATTTGGCTCGCCCTGTCAGGGCTCCCACCACACCTCCTGCTCTCCCACCTCCATTCGGGGTGACTCATACCGGCAGAAAGGATGAATCATGTGGGTTATGAAACCAAAGGGCTCCTGAGAGGGAGGATGGGAAGGACCTGGGGAAGCCATCTCCCCGTGAATCCTGCTCTTCTGGACCCCTCGTGCTCCTTGTCACCTCCCTCTACCTGCCAAGCCACAGACTCACAGAACAGCAACTGCTCCCAGAAAGTGAGCATCAGATCACGGTTCCCTTCCCACCTCAAGGCCTTCTCTGTCTATTTTTGTTTCCCCTCCTGTATCAGGGTACAGGCTTCCTTTCCACCAGGGGCGGGTTGGGACCAACACACCTGGGGAGGAACGGAAGACAAGGTCTCGAGGCCATCCTCACCTCTCACCATCTGCCTGTTCACGGTGTGAACATCCCTACAGTTCTCCAGGGCACACCAGGTCAATATCTGTGGGAATCTAGGCTGCTTTGGGCAGTAGGGGCCAGGATGGTTCAGTGTAGTTTCCCACTGACTGGCCCCAGGTCACTGGGAGCTTTTAAGCATCTACACCTCTAGTGAATACCTAGAAGATGGCAGCCCCTGGATTCATGGAAACAAACATTTATCAAAAGCTTATTGCCTGACCAGTGTTCACATCATGCTCAAAACAACCCTACAGGACAGACAATTGTCACCTCTGTTTATAGGTGGAGACTTGCGCTCAGCAAGATGACACAGATGGGTAGGGGATGGCCTAGGGACTCACAGGCACCGTCTGCCTGCCCTGGTGGGCTACTACCTTGGGGCTGTACCCCTGGGTTTCTCTCGAACCCAGCTAATCTGTCAAGTATCTCTGCACCTCTCAATATGCCTAGTTCTGGACAGGGCCACGACCCTCTTTTCTTGTGACCTCTTTCCCCTAGAATCCAGAACCCCGGGCCAGGGCTAGTCTACTGTCTACTGCTGAGGCCAGCAAGGCTTCACGTGAAGGAGGTCAAAATCAGGTGAGGGAGGCCTCCTGGCTCCCCGAAGGGTGGGCGGTGGCGGGCCTGACTCTCCCCGCAGGCTGGGCACCTGGGCGCGGGATTCACCTGAGATGCCCTCCCCGGGCGGGGCTCGTGGACGCGCGGGGCTGAAGCCGCCCCGGCCTGTCTGGGTCCCGAGCGCCCCGAGAGTCTGCGAGAAGTTCCCGACGGGGGGGCGTTTCCCGGGGGCCGGCGCCGGAGCGGAGCGCGGGCCCAGGGGCGCCGCCGGGCCGCGCGGGCGGGAAC